TTGGCAACTTGAAGATGTCTGGACTTCAACTGGGAGTTGAAGTCCAGACATCTTCAAGTTGCCAAGGTTGAGAAACACTGCTCTAAATAACCGAATAACAGGGGTTGCAACTTGCAAAGGACCCCAGAGGTCTTCTAGTCCAACCCCCTACTCAAGCGGGAGACCCTAATACCCTTTCAGACAAGGGGCCGTCCCTTTTTAAAAGCCTCCAGTGTTGGAGCACAAACACTGCAAAAGACAAGAACCTCTTTCTGAAGTGAAGTTAATATTTGATCAGTGTCCTCCCCTTTATCACCCAGGTAATGCATTGAACTTTAAAGGCCTTTTTTTTTTTAAATCTTCACTAATGATCCTGATTTTTTTATTATTTTATTTTATGGCACAATACCAGGGTTTTAAAGCAGGATGCAAACCCCGTCTGGCATGGATTTCTTGTTTTAATTTCCCGGGGACAAACATATGCCTTTTATCTCCCCCCCACCCCACCCCATCTGCCTTGTGGGGAATTAATAGGTTTTAAAAGCCAAAGAGGTCAGTTAATCCTTACAGAATTCACTTCTTAAAATTCTACCTGTTCGACCCGTCTGCTTGTGGCCTTTGACATGCCACTCAAAACCTGGTGTGGCCCTCAAGCTCCAGGAGATTGTGCCCTACCCTGTTTTAAAGGGGTGGAAGCCACCTTGGTTCAATGCATAGGATATTTGGTGTACTGCTTAAGGCACCCAGCTGGAAAGCAGGAGACGGTGAGTTCCAGTCCTGCCTTAAGCACGAAAGCCAGCTGGGAGACTTTGGGTTAATCACCAGGAGATGGTGAGTTCTAGTCTTGCCTTGGGCATAGAAGCTGGCTAGGTGACTTTAGGCCAATCACCAGGAGTTGGTGAGTTCTAGTCCTGCCTTAGACGTGAAAGCCAGTTGGGTGACGTTGGGCCAATCACTAGGAGATGGTGAGTTCTAGTCCTGCCTTAGGGACAAAAGCCAGATGGGTGACTTTGGGCCACTCACCAGGAGATGGTGAGTTCTAGTCCCAGTTAAGCATGAAAGCTAGCTGGGTGGCTTCGGGCCAGTCTCTCTGTCTCCCCCTCCCCCCTCAACCCAATGCACCTCACAGGGTTGTTGTTGTGGAGAAAATAGGAGACGGGAAGAGGATTAGATAGGTTCGATGCCTTCGATGCTATTTGCGAAAATAATATTGGTGGGATATATTATAGGAATAAATAAAAGGAAACACATTGAAGGAAGCACAGAAGGCAGAGGAGAGGCGAGCAGTGGAAATCTATGGGCCGGTCCTTGGGACGGAAGAGCCACCGCTGCTAGCGAAGCCCCCCTCCTAACTCTGGGGATCAAAGGCAGGGGGCGGAGATGAATAGATGTGGCAGAGGAGAGGAGAGCAGTGGAAATCTATGGGCCGGTCCTTGGGACGGAAGAGCCACCGCTGCTAGCGAAGCCCCACCCTAACTCTGGGGATCAAAGGCAGGGGGCGGAGATGAATAGATGTGGCAGAGGAGAGGAGAGCAGTGGAAATCTATGGGCTGGTCCTTGGGACGGAAGAGCCACCGCTGCTAGCAAAGCCCCACCCTAACTCTGGGGATCAAAGGCAGGGGGCGGAGATGAATAGATGTGGCAGAGGAGAGGAGAGCAGGGGAAATCAATGGGCTGGTCCTTGGGACAGAAGAGCCACCGCTGCTAGTGAAGCCCCACCCCAACTCTGGGGATCAAAGGCAGGGGGCGGAGATGAATAGATGTGGCAGAGGAGAGG